ACAAACCGATACGGGAATCAGTGGAATTCTTCCTACTGTTCATATTCCCCGACCTCATCTCAAGACAACAAGGGACTCTGGCATTCCACATACTGATAGCAGCAAACTTGCTTATAGCTAGGAAGTGGAAATCCACCACTGCCCCTCCCATAGGCGAAGTGATACAACAGGTATCTCTCAATGGCCAGTACGAAAAAATGGCCCATGAGAGCTCTGATAGACACAATAAAACGCTAGACACATGGGAAAAATGGAATGAATGGGTGAAAAGGAAAAACCTAAGTGATGCGGCACAGGAGGCAACAACCTGGCGGCAAAGGGGTACTGTACCCACACCATTTGAAAAGCAGAACCCATAGAGACCACCACCTCCGTCCACTCTCCCCTACCCCCCCCCCACCAATCTAGAAGACCCACGATGATATTACTCGTGCCTAAAACTAATCCTCCTCTCGCTACTCCTTCGCTAGTTTCCTTTCTCTCTCTCTCTCCTCTCTATAGGAGTCCTCACACCCAGCCCTAAGCTGGAACTTCCTCAAAACTCCTGGGGTCCACACAGTCGGACACACCACAGAGTACCAAAGGCACACAAAGAGGATGCTACCGCAGTCTTTAGAGACCTTATATGTATGGAAAGACATACGAGATAAGGGGCCAGAAACTGACAAACTAAAAGTCTAACGGGGTACGGACTAAACTAGCTAGCGGCCCACAGAAGGCAATGAACATGCACATACAATTGCATAACTGTATAATAATGTAACGTTAATATAAAGAATGCACACAATCAATGTAACAAAACATAGTGCTGATACACTGTTCGATTGTACTAACTAATGTGTCTTGTGCCTGTCTGGATTTCCGGAATAAAAAGAAATAAAGAATAAAAAAATAAAAAAAGACTGGACATACTCCATATTGAATACCCTGGATTGTCTACTTTAAAAAAATATGTGCATGTGAGGTGTGATTCAGAGATTTATGACAGATAACAGTGTTACAATGTTACTATTAATAAATTTTAAATATATATATTTTGAAACAGCAATGCCCTAGTTGTACTTATAGCCCTATAACTTGCAAAAAAAAGCTAAGAACATGTTAACATTGGGTTTTTCTAAACTCAGGACAAAATTTTGAAACTATTTAGCCAGGCGGTTTTTGGCGGTTGTAGATGTGTAACAGATTTTGGGGGTCAGAGTTAGAAAAAGAACATTTTTTAAAAAATTTTCATCATATTTTATAATTTTTTTTTATAGTAAACTATATGTAAACTATATGTATGATGAAAATAATGGTATCTTTAGAAAGACCATTTACTGGTGAGAAAAACTGTATATAATATGTGTGGGTACAGTAAATGAGTAAGAGGAATATTACAGCTAAACACAAACACCGCAGAAATGTAAAAAAATTGAAAAACGGCCTGGTCTCTAAGGGGTTAAACATTTTGTACTGTGACAATGAATTTTTTATTGTGTTAGTTAAGCAGTGTGTCCCATAGACCTAGATAAGTAAAGAAGAGTTACACATTCTGTAGATAAATTCAACCTTCAATACAAAAGACAGTATAAATGTATTTAAAAATATGATTGACTTACTTTCACTGGTTTTAAAGGAAATATATTGTCAGCCTATAAGAATTTTAATTGTTGAATGTTATTGTGATGAAATGTTCTACTTTTACTATTGGGAGTAAATTATAGTAATGCTGTGGTCATTAGTTATACAAATGAAATACATTTTTAGGATTTTGCCCTGAGCATCTAATACATAAAACATGCATGTCACCTCAAGCAATATTCTCATTATATACATTTTGATGTATTGGAATGCTAGGAGAAAAATGGTGTAGTGTGTACATAGCACCACCTAGTGTATGAGTAAGGAGTGCAGCATAGTACTGACATATGTCAACCACGGTCACCTTTCATCGCGCTGCATTTTTGGCGTTATATATAGATACAAATGTCGGGTTTATTCATTAAACCCCAAGATGTAGTGGATTGACAGTTAACTTGCAACAATTTTGCCAAATAGCTGAGTTGAAAAAAATAAATGTAATACTTAGCCAAGACAGAGATTATTTCAAGTTGGTAGTTATGACTGTAAGAATATTAAATAGTTAACTTGTTTATATGTATTTTATGCTTTTATAAGGTTTATAACATGATTATTGCTGACTGAAGGGATATTGAATACTTAAAGTCAATATACGAAAATCATATGCTGACTGTGACAGACTAAGGTATTTCTTCTATAGGATGTAAGACAATGCTAAATTTCAGGATGTCTTGCCCATTCCGATTTTAAGGATATTCTTTTCCAGACGTATGCAAAAGCTTATCTTTCCATTGTCAGAATAACGTAATACAAGGAAGTAATAAATCTTATAGTCTGTACTGTAATGAATGACATATACCATGGCTAATGTAAGCAAACTATGTATAAAAGCCAGCTCTGGAATACACTCATTTGAGAGTCTTGTAAAGCTGTTGTCCGTGTGTTATTGCTTACAAATGATTCTCCATCAACGTTGATTATGGTGACCGAGGGATCGAGAACCGAGGGGATTAGAGTCCATTACAACATTAACCCTTTCAGCTTGGTGTCAGAAGTGGGATGGATAGAAGTTGGATCAGCAACACCATTGCGGTGAGTAGCCTTTTTGTGTCTTATTTGACGCTGATTGTCTATGACCCCCCTTTGGTTCAGTAAGACTGTATCCAGTAGATAGGAAAGGTGTAAGGACTCTAGTTATATTGAGACTGTAAATAGGTCTCCGGTTTATTAGACATTTGGTCTAAATATATATAGGGGTTCTTGGTAACCCAGGTTAGTATCTAAGATAGATACAGGTTTTTGAGACCATAAGAGGTCTCCGGTTTATTATAGGGTTTTGGTAACCCAGGTTAGTATCTAAGATAGATACAGGGTATCTCAGGTAGATACAGGTTTTGAGACCATAAGAGGTCTCTGGTTTATTAAGTCTATAGGTGTTCTGAGCAGCACGGTTTGTAGATCTTTAAGTATAACCCAAACTTCTCTTTCTCCCGGTCACCTTTGTTTGTCTTAAGTGTTTTTTGTGGGTGATTGTTTGTCTATATTGGGGACACACTTTGGTAAGTTAGTAGTGTCCCCACTCTGAGTCAGCAGTATGGGAAATGTGAGTTCATGTCCTGAGTGACCAATATATGTACATGTATATGTGTGTGTGTGTATATATGTGTGTGTATATGTATATATGTGTGTGTATATGTATATGTGTATATATAAGATAGCAGTACTTTTAAACAAATGGAGGTTTTAAAAATACATAGTGATTAAGGAGAGAACGCAGGTAACTTGTTTTTCTTTGGTTTTTACCATATATTGGGGCTGATGTGTACTGTAGCCGCTGCTGCCCAGTAGTGATGGGAGTGAGCGTAGGACTTATCTTTTTGCAAGATAGCAGTACTGTATATTAGAAAAGAAATGACTCATAGGTTGTACCTGATAGACCTACTTAAATCTTTTTACTTTATTCTTTCTGTTGCATAGAAGTATAAGTTTATTACTCTGTTTTATTGTAAGTTATTTCACATGGGAACTGTGTGCCTGGAATGATTGTTGCTTTAAAAATACTATAAGCCCACTACACTTATTATGAGAGTGGGATAAGTGTAAATGTGTTGCATTGTTTGCATGATGAGCTCAGTATATTTTATAACTGAGACAAAAAGTCACTTCATTAGTATTTGAAAGTTAATTCCCCATATGGGATTAATTGTATAGAAACACCAATCAGCACATCTTCCCTGCCCTGTGTGTTTGTTGCAAAGGATCCATACTAAATATGATTTATGTTTGAAAATAACAGAGCAACATTTACATTTTCAGCGGTCCAACACATGCTTTATTTTGCACTGTAAACTAACCTTTTTATTGCAACAGGTTCCTTTTAAATGATCCAGTGTAATAACTACTGCTTGTGTCTTCTATGTCTCACATTATGTGTTATTTTAAATTGTGGTATATAGCCTGAATCAGACATCATGGACAAAGGTTTTTACCTGTGTTACTAAGGGCTCTTGGAGACTGACCGGTCTAAAGGTTTGCCATGCCTTAGAACATGGTATAGTATAAATTTTTTAAGTCTCTGAGAGTTCTGAAAGATTCAGGTGAAACCATGTCTGTTTAATCTGGTCCAGATGTTTGTTCAATTTCTGTAAGATTTAAATTGATGCAGCATCATCTCAGATTAATTAATGGAAGTTTTATACAAATATTTGAGTTATGAGCGCGCTATATAAATGGATCCTTTCTTTAAATACAATACTATAGTAGATTAAAGTAATGAAGTTAATTAAGAAAATGTATACATAAGAATCCCTAAAATAAATCTAAACTAAAATTGTTATACTTTCCAATAATATGTTCTGAATACAGCTGTTAACTGTTTATTCTGTGTAAATGGTGATTGTGATAATGTGTGATAAGTGTGCAGTTTAACTTGAAAGTGGTTTAATTTATATGTTGCTGTATTGTTTTAAATTATATGTGAATCAGTTTGTCACAGTCTAGTGATACTGATAAGAATGACAGCCAAATAACCTAGCAAATAACTGTTTTATTAGTTGTTGAATACTAGCGTTTTGGCCAAGAATAGTTGGAGATTTGGAGGTGTTAGTTTAAGATTGCTTTTATATTGTGTCTATCCCGTGTTTCCTAGGAGGGAGACAGAGTGTGTAGTTGTGTGCCCATAAATGTGATTTCTGTATTGGCATATCTGCTGGGTACCCATTATGTGTTTCTACAAAGATATTGTTTTGTGAGATGACGTGTAATATTACATTGGATGCGGAGTATGAGTTATATGGTTTGAAATGAATTGGTGATTATGAGTTTAGTACTTCAGTAAGATGTGCTAAAATTTGGAACAAGGTGGAAGCTGAAATGTTGGGATTATGGAAGAATAAGCAGTCAATATTCACTGCTTTGGCATATAAGCAAGATGCAAAGGAAGAGATCGGTAATATGATTTTTGTAAAGAAATTTTACAAGTGTTGGAAGGATGAGGCAGGTTTGATGTCTGGAGATGATATAGATATCTTTAAAATACAGTCATGCCTTGGTAATATGTTGCCACAGTATTTTTTGCTTGTGAAACAATTGATTTCAGACTGGGACAATTTGGATAGCTCAGATTTTCTTACCAAGGTTATAGAAAAGGAAAATGCAGGTTGTTTTGAATTAAGAAAAGATTTAGGAAAGTAAGGTTGCTTATTATGCTCAGGGATTGCAACTACTATCACACTAGAGCATCCTACAATACTTCATGCCAGTCACCAGGTCACTCAGCTGATGACAAATCTCACCACACAACACATGACAGCCCAGCGCTTCAGTGGTTATGAGATTCTTTTTTTTAATACCCAGAATCTGTCTTTTGGATTAAACAAGGTTTAGAGAAAGATCAAAATGATCTGTTCTCTAAAGAGGGGAGAATAGGCATACTTGAAGAATAGGCATACTTGAAGCAAGCTGATTTATTTTCATCAGTCAGGCACATAGCAAGCACCATTCAATTCCTCATGAATTCATTTTATATTAGGAATCTTAGGCAGCATGTACAGTCTTTTGTAAGATCGTGTGAACGCTGCTCTTTTTACACACTTACAGATTGATTTTATTCATGTATCCAAAATTGGTAAGAAACAGCAATACTTACTGGTCATAGTTGATCAGTTTAGTAGATGGCATGAGGCCTTTGTGACATCTAGGGAAGATGCTAGTGAAGATTATTGTTACTGAAATTATTCCCCGGTATTGCTGCCCTCTGCAGATTGGCTCTGATAATGGCCCGGTTTTTGCAAGTGGGGTTGCCCAGGAACTTGCTAAATTCTTGCAAGTTACCTGGCAGTTTCATATACCCTATCATCCACAGAATACAGGGGTAGTTGAAAGGATGAATAGGACTATTAAGGAAAAGCCCAGAATTTACCCAGGAACATGGGTAAATTGGACAAGATATCTACCAGCTATTTTAGCTGAGATAAGAATATATCCCCACAAGGTGAATTGTTGATAAAACCGAATGGTATGTATGACAATGTTTCTTCGCAGTTTTCCCTTACCTTCACAGGAACCTACTCATTCATACCAGCCCGGTGACAAGGTGTATATCCGTCAGCTGAACAGGACCAAGAAAGGAGGATACCCTTTTGGACCACCTGCTACTGTGATTGCTGTACCCAGAACCGCTGTCCTCACAGATTCCCATGACATCTGGATTCACGCATCCCGAGTGAAGCTGTGTCCAAAGAGGGGAACCAAGGAAGACAACACCACTCCTCGCTCGGAAACAGAAGAATTTCTCCTCAGCGAAGCATCATGGCTTTTACACCATATCGTAGATTGAGAGGATCATACGTACCTGAGACCAAGATTATGTTGTGTGCTATGCTTTCTGGAGTTGTTATACTCCCTCTGATATTGTTCCTTGAATGCCATTATGAGTACAAGTCAATGGCAAGTTCTGGAAAAAGACTCTGACATGATGAACAATTCTTCAATACCCCCAGCCCAATTAGGCCTTAGCCCCTCATCTAGCATTCGTCACACACGCCCCCTCAAGAACCTTTCTCCACCACCTTTCTATCAGCATGCAATATGCAATCATTCATTCAATGAACGCATTTGGATGAATTGGACAAATAGTAACCCTTATAAGTACCAGTTACCCATATGAAATGTGTCTACAGCTAATGAAGCCGATGCATTATGTTTGTTTGAAGGTTCACAGAAAATTGTTAGATCTTATAAGGCAGAAATGTGCACAGTTAAGGTTGCATATCAATGTAAATAGACAGGCCTTATTACTTTTAATAATGATTATATAACTGGTATCATTAATCGGAGAAGGGGACAAATGTTAGTCATTATGAACGACACTGCAATTGAGAACTATACACTACCTTATATTTTTACACCTTACTGTCCTTTATCCTCTACCATAGAACCAAAAGTCAAACACGACACAGACACACCTATTCCGTCCACATGTGTTAATACAACTGCCTTCTTACAAGCTGTACATGTGTCATTAAAAGTCACTACTCTTGTTGTAACATTATGTAATACAACAAACAAAGGCAGAAAAGGGAATGGTATGACACACTGTTAGGAGGTGCTGGAACCACTATGGGTATACTAAATAGTTATAGATATGGAGACCCTCAAGAATAAGTTAAACACAGCCAGCATGCATATAGGGACTGGTTTTCATGCTACTGCAAATTGGGCTCCAATAGTTGTTAAATCACAGGTTAGAGGATTGGATTTAGATAAATCAATGTATAATTATTTAGATAATTTAACTGTTGCAACTATGAAATTCACTACAGGTCTAAGTAACTGGAGTACTTGTGCCATCAGGTATTTATGGATACAACAACAAGGATTGGCATTAGAAAACACACTAATGATTCCTCAACTAGAGAAGATTAGAGGAAAGCGTAACCTCACAGATAATGAATGGTTACTTCTAAAACCCCAATCCAGTAAATGCAATGGATGGTTAACTGGTAATGTTTCACATTTTTCATGCTCATGCTATTTTACATTATATCATACATCATCAAAGGATGTTAAATTAGCTTGTCAATTTAACACATTACCAGTACCAGTTTATGATCTTTTTGCCAAGAATTTAACCTGGTGGGCACCCACATACACAGGGGACTATATTTTTCCCAAAGATAACACACACAGGTAGCCACACATATCCTAAAAGGAGAACTCCTTAAGGTGAGTTCACAAATTCAGAATGATTCAGCCCATCATTGGTACAATGCTTTACTGGTTGGTCCCCTACTGGATCCCAGATAATGAAATCATTCTTCTATCCTTTTGTTATTATAGTCCTGATTTTATTGTGTATGATTTTATATAACTGTCACCTTACTTGTACATTGAGGAAGTGAGTACAGAAATGAATCCATAATGCAGAACAGAAACAATTAAAAATTCTCCTCTCTGCCACTGTAGAGTATCAACCCATCTTTAAACTGAGCCTTAGGAATTACCACATGGGAATCGAGGTGAAGAAATTAATGAAAGTCCCGCAGGGAGTGACTAGCACCCCTGAAAATACCATGTGGAAGTTTCTCTGTCCTGGTAAGATTTTATCGATAAGATGAGCAATTGTTTTATTGCTCAAAGAGGGGAATGTAAGAATATTAAATAGTTAACTTGTTTATATGTATTTTATGCTTTTATAAGGTTTATAACATGATTATTGCTGACTGAAGGGATATTGAATACTTAAAGTCAATATACGACAATCATATGCTGACTGTGACAGACTAAGGTATTTCTTCTATAGGATGTAAGACAATGCTAAATTTCAGGATGTCTTGCCCATTCCGATTTTAAGGATATTCTTTTCCAGACGTATGCAAAAGCTTATCTTTCCATTGTCAGAATAACGTAATACAAGGAAGTAATAAATCTTATAGTCTGTACTGTAATGAATGACATATACCATGGCTAATGTAAGCAAACTATGTATAAAAGCCAGCTCTGGAATACACTCATTTGAGAGTCTTGTAAAGCTGTTGTCCGTGTGTTATTGCTTACAAATGATTCTCCATCAACGTTGATTATGGTGACCGAGGGATCGAGAACCGAGGGGATTAGAGTCCATTACAACATTAACCCTTTCAATGACTACAAGGCATCACATCTGTTGGCTACTCATAAGCACTTCTTGCCCCATTAAAGGACCACTATAGGCACCCAGACCACTTCAGCTCAATGAAGTGGTCTGGGTGCCAGGTTCCCCTAGTTTTAACCCTGCAGCTGAAAACATAGCAGTTTCAGAGAAACTGCTATGTTTACACTGCAGGGTTAATCCAGCCTCTAGTAGATGTCTCCTTGACAGTCACTAGACGCGCTTCTGTGATTTACACGGACTAAATGGCACTTATTTGACGCTGGACGTCCTCACAGAGTCCAGCGTCAAATAAGATCCCCATAGGAAAGCACTGAGTAATGCCTTCGTATGGGCAGATTTGAATGAGCGCGCTCCTCTGGCCGCGCATGTGCATTCGGCTCCACTCGGAAGCTGACGTAGATGGAGGAGAGGTCACCAGTGCCGCGTGAGCCTGGCGCTGGATTAAGGTAAGCAAATAAATGGTTAATTAATCATTTATGAACTGCGGAACAAGGCGATAGTCACCTAAATGGTGACTAGGGCTCTACAGCGTTAGGAATACATATTTGTATTCCTAACGCGATAGTGTTCCTTTAATAATCTACTCTATGCATGGAGTACTATGTACTTTCTGTGCTGGGAAAGGAAGAAGTAGTGGATAGGACTTCCTGGTACTTCCTGCCATTGAAAACAGTAATGACGGTTTTTAAATGGTTTGACCTCTTACCAGAGACAAACATGCCAGAAGTTTCATTTTAAATATTTCATTTTAACTAGTGTTTTAAAATAGATTTGATCACTTTGATGATTTAGTTAAACTTTCTATATCTTCATTATAAAAGAACTTGTTTAAGAACGGTTTGACCCCTTGAGGTAAGAAGGCGCGCAGGGCCGCCTGGCACCATAACAACTTCATCTAGAGATGCTTCCTACTGTTTCATGAAGTTTAACTCAGTAAAATGCTGCTGGACATCCTCACGCTTTGCATGAGTACATCCAGTGTCTTTTAAATCCCCATATGAAAGCATTGACTCAATACTTTCCTATAGGGAAGGCCTAATGTGTGTGTGGAGCTCGCTGTGCGTGAGCGTTATGTTCCCCTTCGCAATGACATCAGAGAAGGTGAGACAGAGTCAGGGAAGAGGATCCTCAGCACTGGAATAAGGGGAGTGTTCAAAACATTTTTTATAACCCTTTCATAACTGTGCGGGGGGGGGGGAGGTAGGGGTAGAGGGGGCATAGAGGGACTCTATAGTGCTAGTAATACAAGTTTGTTTTATTAACAATCTTTAATGTAGTGGGAGATCTCTAGATTGCACAATACCAAACGGCACAATAAAAATGCCCTGTGCTGTTAAACAACAATGGATAATTATTACAGAAATAACGTCTAGCTTGTTTTATCTTTTTTTTTTTTTTTTTTATGCCTGAAGAGATTCAGATAAACTGTTTTTCTAGGCTTACTGAAAGGCAGGAGTGACCCCTCGACACATCCAGTGCATGCATTCATTCTGTCTGAGAACACT